AATAAACTAAGCAATGAAGGAAAGTAACTCTTGCTAAAAATATGAGGAAGTTAATTTATGCTAATAAAGTTGGCTATGGAATATAATTACGTGAGCAAGGATGACTAAAATATGCCTCTACACTGTGTATCAAATGCCAAGGGGGAAATGACCAGGATATTTACAGATCAGAACAAATTTGTTTATGAAGAATCGGTTTTTTTTTCTATTTTGCAGATTTTCTTTTTTAAAAGCAAAATTGATGTGACTTGTTCAGTGTTAACCGTTTGGCAGGTGGATGATCCGTAGCCATCCACAATGAGATCACTCCCTGCCCTGGTGGCCCCAAGCCTCTAGAGGTCAGGACTTCTGGGGCCCAGAAGCTTAGAGCCACACCTGTTGAAGGTCAGTGATGTCAGAGTCACTCTTCCTTCCTCCAGCAGCACTGACAACAGTTTACTGTACGCAGTTTCTACAACTCAGATGTTCTAGAAGGAAGGAAACATCTTCTGAGCACACAGACTATGACTATGTTCTCAGAATATGTTTTCTTCCTTCTAGAATACCTAAGCTGCAATACTTAAAATCAACATAGTATGAGAGATGGTGTTAGGAGGAAGCCATCGAACTCAAAGCCACACTAGGTGTGATGTGCCTTGTTTATCTGTTTAAACAGGAATGAAACAGAAAGAGGTCTCTCGTGTTTTCATATGAGCTGGAGCTATTTGAGTGGCCAGGGAAGACAAGATAGTTTGATTTAGATTTGGCACAAGTTTGGTGGAAGAAACGTCTTTGTAGCTGGTCCTAAATATTATGGTAACTTGGACTGAGTCAGTTTCCAAGGGAGAAGTTGCCACATGTTATAACAGAAGCCACTGGGCTTGGCAAGAAAAGAAATGAAAGGAGCACAATGAATGCATCCCCACTTCTCCGTCGTGGCGGGGACGTGCTAGGCAGGGTGACTGCATCTAATTGCCTGCCTTTCCTATGGCCGATCAAATCCAGCACTGCCCTTGCAAATCAGTCTTCACCACATTCCGCAGAATAAAAACGTGCAAGTTAATTTTAATTTCCAATGAATTCTTCAGGAAAAATGTTTCTTCCTCCTTACTAAAATATGAATAAACAATACAGAATAGAGATTCAGAAGGAGGAGTGGGAGGAGAAATTCTCTCAGGTTGAGAAAGCATGGCTTTTTCAAATATATTTACTTTTTCCTTATTATTATTATGCTTTAAGTTCTGAGGTACATGTGCAGAACACGCAGGTCTGTTACATAGGTGTACACGTGCCATAGTGGTTTGCTGCATCCATCACCCTGTCACCTACATTAGGTATTTCTCCTATCCCTTCCCTAGCCCCTCACCCACTGCTATCCCACCCCTAACCCCTTACCCCCTGACAGGCCCCAGAATGTGATGTTCCCCTCCCTGTGTCCATGTGTTCTCATTGTTCAACACCCAGTTATGAGTAAGAACATGCGGTGTTTGGTTTTCTGTTCTTGTGTCAGTTTGCTGAAAATGATGGTTTCCAGCTTTATACATGTCCCTGCAAAGGACATGAACTCATTCTTTTTTATGGCTGCATAATATTCCATGGCATATATAGTTCTAACAAGAGAGGACCATCTTCTGTTTTGATTCATGCTCAACCATTCCCCACTTAAATTTTTAAAAATTACATTCTTGCCTATGTCTATCTTGCTATTTTGACTGGTCATTCCCAAACATAAACTGACCTGCTCTGAAGCTTCTCAAAGCCAAGCAAGGTGACAGTCTAGAACAAAGAAGGCTGCCAATAAGTCTTTGCTGAGTGAATCTACCGTCTTCCATGGCCTTGGTCTGAATGTAGATTCTAAGGCTTCTTACACTGACAACAATGGACTTTCTAGCTATCCAGGTAATTTTCGGTGAAAGAAAATTATAAAAGAGGGCATAAAACTTGGCTCACAAAATAAATATGGACTCAGACCCATCTACTTCATGAAACATACAAGCCCAGAGGCTAGTCTTCTAGACCCTGCCATCTGTTTTATGAGAAAAAAAAGTCACATTATTTACTTTAGCTCTGCCAGAAATCATCATCATCTACTTGCACAACTAAAGACGACAAGACAGATGGAGGCTACACACTGAATACTGTCTAATTTTGATTTATATTTTTTGGTCAAACCTCTTATAATTTAGTATTTCTAAGAGGAAAAATAAGCTTATGTAATATAATGGCACTGAATTATTGGTTTCCAGTTATGAGAAACAAAGTAAATTAACCTCAAGGGGAAAAAATGCTACAAATATAAATAATATTGTTTCAGTTTACAAAGCAGTCTTCCACGTATTGTCATTTCTTTCTTTTCTTAAAGAAGGTATGTTTACGAATTAGGTGACAGACTAAGGTAGATGTGTGTGTAACGAGCAGCAGTGCCTGGAATCTCAGCGCTAAAAGGAGGCTGAGGCAGGCATCACTTGAGGTCAGGAGTTCGAGACCAGCCAACATGGTGAAACCCCATCGCTACTAAAAATACAAAGGATAGCCAGGCATGGTAGTGTGCACCTGTAGTCCTAGCTCCCCAGGAGGCTGAGGCAGAATCGCCTGAACCAGGGAGGCAGAGGCTGCAGTAAGCCAAGACTGTGCCACTGCACTCCAGCCTGGGTGACAGAATGAGACTCCATCGCTAGTTAACATGTACTGGACTCACTGCTTGAGGGCTAAACCCACATGAGTCCACGATGCACTCACAGGTCTGTGCTCTTTGGCCCTGGCCCTATAGCCATTTGGAAGCAATCACAGAGAACGGAGTGAGTCTGTTAGTCGCTCAATATACAGTAGGGCACAGCGTAACATTTCCATCAATGGTGTACCACATCTATGATGGTGGTCTGCTAAGATTACGATGAAACTGAAAAATTCCTATTACCTAGTGACACTGTAGCCATTGTAACACACTGCAAGGCTCTATTTTTTCTATGTTTAGGTATGTTTAGATACACGAGCACTTATCACTGTGTTACAATGTTTTCAGTACAGTTGTATGCTGTACGGGTTTGTGGCCTAGGAGCAACAGGGCCATATCTTACTGCCTAGATACGTAGCAGGCTATACCATCTAGGTCCATGTATATATACTCTATGATGTTCACACAATGAAAAAACTGCCTATCCCCATTGTTAAGTGACGCATGATGTATATGCATTAAGCGCCTACTATGTGTCAGGTACTGTACTTGGCAGTTGCTGAAGTATGGTGGTGAATCAATGAAAAAAGTCCCTGTCCTCATGAAGTTCACAGTCTATGGGGAAGAACAGTGAGCTCCAGGGCGATACCCAGTATAGACACAGCCAGTGACCAAGAGCACTGGCTTGGAGTCATTCCTATGAGGTTTAATCCTTGATTCCGCTACTTACTTTGGAAATGTGACTTAACTGCTTAATCACTGGTTACTTTACATGTAAAATGTAAAAAGGCTGGTCACGCCAGCCTTTCGGGACTGCTGAGAAGACTCCATGAGACAATGTTTATAAAGCACTTAAAACAGCATCCAGCACACAAGAGACCTAATAAATGGCCGTTAGGGTAACTGCTCTCTCAAAGAACCAAGGACACACATGAAGAGGTTTGCTATTTTCTCCCCCAGAACACATCCCCAAATGCTGAACCAGGAGCCAACTCTCATCACGACTTTATCACACTCCTGTAAGGCCCTGGACAAATGAGACGCTCACCAGTGTCACCAGGCTAGGCAGGAAAGTCTAGTTGTTAAAAATACACCCCAGCAGGAGGTCTACAATACTGCTGTAATGGGAATGTTTTCTGTTTTTCAAGGAGGTAAGACGCATTATTGGATGGCCTCTTGAAAAATAACTTATAAGCATTTTCTCTTTTAACACAAGCCCTACCAAGAGCACACTACCGTCATAAATATTCTGGACGAGACTCCAAAGGGAGAGATGAAAAGCCGTGCTCAGGGCATCCTAAGCTGAGAAGCGGTGCAGTCACAAATAGCACGACCTCTGCAGCCAGGCTGCCTGGGTCCTCAGCCCAGCTCTGTCACTCACTGGCTGTGCAACGCCGCCACATCGCTCACTGGACCCATTGCTTCAAATCTGTAAAATGGGATAATATGATTCCCTATCTCCTTAGGTAGTTGTAAGGATTAAAATCACTAATACCTGTTAGGCAACTAAAACAGTACCTGACATACAGGGAACATTCCATAAACATTACCGGTAATTACGTATGGCAAACTCAGTAACTTTATTACGTTGCTAAAAAAACATGAGGGCCAAATAGCAAGAAAGCAAATGAACAATATCAGAGGTGTGAAACCCGAGTCTTCTCCTTGGCTCTCCCATCTGCTTTCTGCATGACTGTGGGTGCATCACGCCCCTTCTGCAACTCACTGTTCTCACCTATACAAAAAGCAATACACATATACACCAACAACTCCTAGAGAGGCCTGATGCAGCTTTCCGCTAATACCATACCAATGGGAGCCAAACAATTTAAATTTCTTTATCTTCCTATTTGCATCAGTCAGGGCTCTCCAGAGAAACAGAATCAATAGGAAGGGAGGGAGGGTGGGGGTGTGTGGGAGAGAGAGAGAGAGAGAGAGAGAGAGAGAGAGAGAGAGTGTGTGTGTGTGTGTGTGTGTGTGAGAGAGAGAGAGAGAGAGAGAGAGAGAATGAGAGACAGAGACAGAGATGGTGAGGGGGAGGTAGGAGGTGGTTAGATCCTGAGATTTACCTTAAGGAACTGGCTCATGCAATTACAGGGACTGACAAATCCGCAATCTTCAGGGCATGCTGGTGACCCAGGGAAGAGTTGATGTTGCAGCTTTTTTTTTTCCCCTGAGACGGAGTCTCACTCTGTTGCCCAGGCCGGAGTGCAGTGGCACGATCTCGGTTCACTGCAACCTCTGCCTCATGGGTTCAAGTGATTCTCATGCCTGTCTGCCTCCCAAGTAACTGGAACTACAGGCATGTGACGCCACACCCAGCTAATTTTTATGATTTTTAGTAGAGATGGGTTTTCACCGTGTTGGCCAGGCTGGTCTTGAACCCCTGATCTCAAGTGATCCACTCATCTCAGCCTCCCCAAGTGCTAGGATTACAGGTGTGAGCCAGGGCACCAGGCCAGTGTTGCAGTCTTGAGTCTGAAGGGAGCCAGAGACAGAATTCCTTTTTCTTCAGGGACTTTATATATGAGGCCTACAAAGGATAATCTGCTTCACTCAAAGTCTACTGATATAAATGTTAACCCCATCTAAAAAAATACCTGCACAGTGACATCTATTCTGATGCTTGACCAAGTATCTGGGTACTGTGGCCTCGCCATACTGACACAATTAGCCATTACACCATCCTTTCAGAACAGGTGACACCCACACTGAAGGAAAAAACCTCTAGACTCCACAGCCATTTAACCTTCTGTTGGAGACCATGATCGAGGCAAGGAATTCAGAAGAGGCTACTATTTTCTTCACAGGTGAATTCCAAGCCTCACATAGCTTCCAAGGCATTTCTTGTTCCGGTTCCTGCTCACCTCTCTAGCCTGACCTCCTGGCAACTGTTCCCTCCATTCTAGTCACATGGGGTTTTTGGTTTAAAGACACTGTGTTCCTCTCTTGCTCTGCCTGAGTACATGCTATTTCCATCCTGGGATATGCCGCTGTCCCACATTTTATCTGGGTCTTCATCATTAGAGTCTCATGTTAAGAACCACATCTCCCTCAAGAAAGCTTAAACTTCCCTGACCTGACATGCTGCCAAGCTGGTCCCTGAAGACACAACAAACAGCTGCTGAATAAACAAACAAGGATGCAGATGATTCTTAAACCTTGACCTTCAGTCCTCCCAATGTCCTTGAGATTTGGTTCTGTGTCTCCAGACACTTGACGGACAGCCCCAGGTGGGAATCTCACCAGCACCGACACTGAACACGCACAGCGTGGACCGAGCTCATCTTCACTCTCACATCTGCTGTCTTCTAAGCTTAGCACAGTAGAAGGAACACAGGTTTGGGAGTCAGGGATGCCTGTTCTGAAGTCCCTGTTCTAGATCCCATTAATGGTTTAATTTTAGACCAACTGCTAACTTCTCGGAGCGTTAGTTTTCTCATCTCTGGTATGAGGATGAAAATACCAACCCATAGGATTAGGAGATGATTAAATGAGATAATAGCTGAATAATGCCTTGTAGATGGTACAGAAATAATGAATGACACCTGGGTTCAAAAGTCCGGGGACATTTTGCTTCCCATCAGGCAACCCCTATTATCCAGGCAGTTCCTAAATCCCATCTCATAAATTCATTTTCTACATCCAGTGGCCATCCCCTCACCTAGGCCCTCCCCACCTCCTTCCTGGACCATCACAGCAGCTCTGAAAGGCTTTCCCAGCTCTGGCTATTTTCACAGTCCAGAGCCACCCACATGCTGATCCCCAACAAGGCCTCTTCGGGACAGGGACTCTTGCCACTCAAACTCTTCCATTGTTCCCCAATAACTTAAGTTAAATCCTTTAATCACGCACCATGCGAGGCCCTCTGGGTTCTGGCCTCCAAGGACCTTTGCTACCTGATCTTCTCCTTGGTCATTTACACACACCATTGCCCAGCAAGTACAAATCGATTCCTGCCCACTCCGTACCCTGGCATTTCCCATCACTACCTATGCCTTTGCTCATGTTTCCTTGAACGAAGACACTCTCTCTCCAAGTCCTCAAGACCAACATGACCTTTCTTTATCCATAAAGCATTTCCTGATCATGCCAGCCACAGATAACCTTTCTTTCCTGTAAACTTGTGTTGTGTCTGTCTACCTTTTATACATTTCCCTTTCCCTCTGCATTTCTTGTTTTTCTTTTTTCTAAGACATCTTGTTATTGCATCTCTGCATTTATTCTAAATATATCTGTGCACAGAATCTAACTTCAAGCTCTTCGAGGGTAGCATCGTGTCCCAGCCCACACTGTCACACTCAGGAGAAGCCCCCAGTAGACGGTGGCTCTGTATTTACCTACAGAGCGCCACTGAGGAGCACAGGCCCTCATGTCAGTAGCCCATCAGCTGAGCCTTGGCATCAGCTCCTAGCACAGTGCCTGGCACAGAGCAACACCCATGTATCATTGGTAATTGAAATTATCCACAAGAGAGTCACCTAGTGTCTGTAGGATGGAAATCCCTTCCCTTTAGAATATAACATGAAAGGGAATGTGAAGAGCCTTCTCTCTCCCCATACTTCCAGATGCAAGAAGGCTTCAAGCTAACCGTCTCCCACAAGCTATACAGCTACTCTTGGCAATAAATATGGCATATAATGCTTTGGTGCATTCGGGGTGACAAAAATAATCAATTTTAACACATCAGAAACAATCATTTTTCAAAAACAGTCTCCTCTGGAGAAGGGGGTTATTCAAACAATGCCCGAAATCTTTTTGGACCTTACATTTTGAAGAGGTCCAACTTCTGTTGGTTAAAAAAAGTCTATTATATACCGTTGGTTAAAAAAAAGTCTATTACATAATGAAAGCCTTACAACTGACTGAGAATTACAGAATTTCAGAAATAAATCCCAGTCTGTTCATCCTTAAAATAAGAAGCTATTTTTCAGGGCTTTCATTTCCAAAATTATATTATGTAAGCCACTTCAGAAATCATGTACATAACAATTCTCATTTTGCCATTAAATCTCTATTTTGAAATGTAATTAATTAATTCACCCATCCATTTTTGCAGAAATGGGATCTTGCTCCGTCGCTCAGGCTAGAGTGCAGTGGTGTGATCATAGCTCACTGCAGCCTTCAACTCCAGGGCTCAAGTGATCTTCCCGGCTCAGCCTCCCAAGTAGCTAGGACTATAGATGCATGCCACCATGTGTGTCTTATTTATTTTATTTCATTTTTGTAGAGATGGGGGTCTTACTATGCTGCCCAGGCAGGTCTCAAACTCCTGGCCTCAAGTGATCCTCCCGCCTCAGCCTCCTAGAGTGCTGGGATTACAGATATGAGCCTCTGTGCCCCGCCTAAAATTTTATTTTGACTCCTTCTGGGCTCTAAAAACACACGTGTACCTCTGTTACAGTCCAGTAGTCTACAGTGCTACCTCTTTATCTAGTCATTTATCTCACTAACCTGTGGCTTTCTGAAATGCCAGACCCATGAGCTGTTCACTTTTGAATCTACAGTACTTTCTACTGAAATGTAGTAGCTGGCTCAGTACATGTTTATAACATGAAGCAATGACTCAAATCAGTGGTTTGATCACCTACCATATTCATGAGACCTCACTACTGGCCCCCTCCTACCGTCAAAGGACAGAGGTTTCCCACCACTGTGGATGGTCAAAAGAAGATAGAAAGTTCTTAAGCGATTCATTCAATGTGTCTTTTTTTTCCCCCTTCTCTTTCACATCTCCTTCTTGAATTACATTTAATGTGTTTATTTAGTCCCCTTGAAATAAATACTGATGGGTAAAACCAAATTAATTTAAATCACATGCTACAAAGGATAGCCAATCAAGTACCCAGCTGAGTATCTAAAATTAGTACACACACACACACACACACACACACACACACACACTCCGAAAACAAAAACATGGAAAAAGCAAAAAAGCCCTGCCTGTGCCCTGTGTACCCCTCGCTGACTAGGAAGTGACCCATTTTTCAGGTATCATCCAATCATACACAGCAGGCATCAATGACCTCAGAAGCCCACACGTTCATCTCAAGACTCAGCAACATAAACACATCTACGTTCCCAAGAAAGCTTGTTGCAAGTTGGTGACAAATTGTGGAAGGAAAAAAAAAAAAAAGCTCTAAATGAAATTACAGACATGACTCTCACATTTGAGCTCTCCAGATATATTGTTATGGGTTTAAGAAATACCACACTTTTGTGTCACGAAGAGAGTTCTAAAAACCAGTACATTCTGAGAAGTCCGTATCTGCTACTTGGGAACTAAACCGGGTTTGTAACAACTGAATCTCTTTAGAAGACTGTTAACACCTTGCTTAAGCATACAAAAGTTGAAAATAAAAATAACTGAAGATTTCAGAATTTTTCAGTCATAATATAGTTCTTATGAAAGACAGAAAATATTATTTCATATTCTCTTAAATATTTATAAAAGCAGCACACATTTTTTCTATTTACAGAGATGGAAACTGAGGCAAGAAAATGCAATCATTCTGTTGGAAGACTATTCTACATTTCCCAAGCAATTAAGACATGACCCCAAACTAATTAAATTCTCCTGCAACATATTCTTACAAGAAAAGGGCTAAAGCCTTATTGCTTAACGAAAGATAAACAATGTGAATTATTTCAATAATTGGTCCAAGAAGCTGCAGCAGGCCACTGACTATCTTGGACACCTGCTGCCACCCTTGTTCATGTTTTCTCCTGAGATGACATGTATGTATCATAATTAACAGGTGTCCTTGATTTTCATCATAATAATATTCCAGTACGTCCCCACATCTCCTGTACATAGCCACATGCTGCCATCTTCTGATTATGCCCAGTGGAGTGTAAACACTTTTTCATGAAAAAGCAAAATCAATAAAAGTAAAGCTCCCTATGTTTCCTTCCAGTAGTGCCCTCGGTAACAAACAGGGCAGAGACACCAACACAGAGATTACGATAGTCTCCGACATAATTCAAACAGAACTTTAAATGGATCAATGCATGTTATAAGCTTTTTTTTTTTCTGCAAGTGCCAAGCGTGCTTATGCTACTCCTCACTCTGAGATAGACAGATCATCAATGACCTTCTGGGTCACTGACTAGGGAGAAAGCTGACTATAAAAAGGAGTGGGAGAAAAATAAAGGGGGGGTTGCTTCCTTCCACCCTAGACCCCCTACTGCCTTGAATGAAAGAAGACAGATGGCAGCCACCTTTCCCTTTAATTAGGAGGGGCAGCTCAGAAGAGGACAGTCCTGCTCACTTGGCATTATCTTTAACAAGAGGGTTTCGATGGTAATACTCTGCTCATTCGCCCTTCTTTCAAACTGTTCTTAACTTTTCATTTACAAACTGAATTTCTGTAAATTTAATGGTGAAACAATTATATCGCTGACTACAACGCTGTACATAGACGAGATACTTAAAGATGTTTGCTGAATTAATAATTCACAGATATTCCTGTAAAGAGTCTGGAATGTTTCAAATAAAATACAGCCACCTCCAGTGCTATCAGCACCACTTTGAGATAAAATGGGAATTTGCACGACACAGAGGCTCTAACTCAAATTCACGACATTCCATACTAGATCTAGAAGTTTCTGCTTTCCAGTTCCACACTCCAGTCATGCTCCTACCTTTCACCTTCAAGGTGCTGCTGTTCAAGTTGAACGCCCCCCTCAAAAAAAAAGAAAAGAAAATTCTAGAGTAAAAATCAGTCCTAGATTTAGAAGGAAAGACCATTTAATAACAAATCACAAACCACTCTTCATCTCCATTTGTTCTGCATTTTCAAAAGCCACAGAACTTTGTATTAAAAGTTAATTCATCCACATTACATCTCTGGAGAGAGGATCAACATAAAAAACAAACAAGCAAAATGGAAAGCAGGGGCCACATGTCAGAATTAGGCTAATGTCACAGAATCTTCTATGAAGGTGACGAAGGCAATTCAGCACATGTTCCATAAATCTACATGGCACAAAACTCTCTAACATGAAAGAAAAGCTTAGTTGCTGTTAACGGGGTTAGGTCTCTATTTTATCTCATTTTTATATTAAATCTGTTTGTATCAACATCACTAAATAATTTATATTCTCACAGCTCTTTGCCAACACAACTTTCCTGATGTGTTTTTAAATTGCAGCCTCTTGTCTGTGACCCTTCCCTCCTAGTTTCTGCACGGTTCCTGCACAAGGACCCTCTGCCTTCACACTTGTCCTGGGGACACCTGCTTTGCCCGCTTCCAAATGGAAATCAGGGTGGCGAACTGGGGTGGTTTTGCTGGAGGTACTCCTGACATGCAAAATGCCTTGCCCATGTCAGTCATTTACCTAATGGCAAAGCTCTTGGGCCATTAAGAAACAAAACGAAACACTTTTTGTTTTCTCCTTGATAATAAATTTCAATCTCTTACTATCTCTAAACAGCAAGCCGGCACGCTAGATATGGGAAGAGAGAAAAGATAAAAGCAGCAATCAGCTACTGAACAAACTACATCCTACTTCCCAATGAAGGGGAAAAAAACTTGGCATTTGCCAGATATTGAGTGTCTAATAATGTTAGCAAGAAAAAACACGCAGGAGAGACTAACAAAGAAACAAACAGAACTTACTTTGTTTCCCAGCACAGTAAGCAGGTCAGGAATGAGATGACGCCAATTCCTCCCTCAAGGTCCCTGCTTTCACTTTAAAAGCTGTGTGAGTGCTTACATCCAGGTTTCCCCGTGGAACTCCAAATGTCTGCACTTCTCAAGATGCCCCATGTTCCCAGTCCATCTCACACACTGAAGACACGCTTCTGAGATCGGGAAGCCCTGTGGTAGCCCCAGTCGACCTCTGGGTGCCACGTGGCACCTCCGCTGTTGTGACTACACACACATGCCTGGGACACCCACTTGTTAGCTCAGGAACCAGGCGGCCAGCAGATATCTGCTCAGATGAATGTCCAGAGACTCAACTCTCTGGCATTCTCAGGTTCAAGGCTGGAAAATGCATTAAGACTAGAACCACACAGTCAGCAGAAATCTGCGCCATTAGCTCTCTCGTACTTAAATGTCTATCTAAATAAGAGTCAAAATGAGAGGGAGTATCTTACTAGGGATGGTGACTTGCACTTGCCGTGTTTTCAAAGTACTGGGTCCTGTCTTGCTCTCTACAACTACATGTAAGAATCCCTAAATCAGAAGTTATTTTCATTTCTTCTGTGAAAAACAAAATCAATACAAGACTGGAAAAACATATGAAATATAATTCTGCTTAAAAACGTAACCATTATTTAATCTCAACCAGCCAATATTTTTTTTAAATCCAAAGAAGAAGAAAAAAAAACACGTATAAATTTAAAGTTTGTTTTGAAAAATTACTTCATCCATGTACTGTCCAGCTCATAAAAACAAACCTTCTTCCAGTGAAACGGGACACTTTGACCTTGTTTACTGCAGTGTTTTGAAACCGCTGTCTCGTAACTCCTGACATCACCGGGGATGCATTAGCACCTTGCCTGCTGCTGGCTGCACACCCTGCTACCCCAACTCCCTTGAATCGCCCGTAGCTGAACAAATACACAACAGTAAGGACAGTGGCCTTAGCATGAAACCCACAAAACGCACGAGATCTTTACAAGTGTCACATCTCTCTGTTCGCTTTTATAAGAAAGCAAAAGCACTGTATATCTGATAGTTTTTAGGTCCTACCTACCATCCAGACCTAGTGCAGACCATTCTTTCTTCTGATCCTCTTCCCTGCCCAAGAAACGGGCCTCCTTTCTCACTGACCGCCGTACTGGCAAGAATTTCTGCCACGGAGTTTTAATATTAAGAATAGGAGTTCCCAACCTACTTTCCACCAATAAAAAGTTCCCACAAATCTTCCTAGCACAGAATGTATTAAAGTATACTTTAGAGTTTCAAACAGCACTGTATTCTTAAGTTTCACAAAGTCAAATGTGTTTGTCTTCTTTTATGGAACGCGCTTTTGGTGTTGTGCCTGCCTGTTGCATTTTTTAAGAAACAGTTTTCTCCTGTAAGCTTGACATGTTTCCCTTCTGCACTTCCCAGTTCTTTTTCTAAATACATCAAAATCAAAGCAAAGGATAGTTGTAACCACTGGAAGCAAACCACAATTGCTTTTGTGGGAACATCTCCTGGGAACATCTCCCAAAATTCACTTCTTAAATAAAACTAAATCCTGGTCCTACAATGATAGTGCAATTTTACAGAGAAATTAAAAACCCAGGTTTAAAGTGTCTGAAATCAATTGATAACCTTTACTGAAACCACTTACAAAACATCACATCCTTAAACCACAGTCACCAAAAAATACAGAACACAAAATACATATTTGAGCAATTATAGCCCTTGTTTGTCAAAGAGGAGTAAAAGGAAAAACATCCAGAGTTAATACAATTAATTAACTCCAGCTACAGAACTACTAAAAAGACCCTCCAAATGTCATGCTGTTACTATGACAGCTTCAAAACTGCTCTGAGAAAATGTGCTGGATTGTAAGATTCGAGATAAAACACGCGTCATCCTGCCTGCTAGAAATTACTTTCATTTATATGAGGCAGCAGAAAGGCTAAATGGCCACTTCCAATTCTGAAATATCAGATTGTTACCTTTTGGCAGATGCTGTGCTCTTCATTCAGATCATGAAAAGAGTTAATAAATAAACGAATCTCTCTCAATAACTGGAGCCCTTTTGGTTTCATTACTGCAACGATCCCACTCCTACCGTCTATCTAGTTGGTACATTATTTTTTATAATGAAAGCAGCGAAGTCTGATTCAATCTGAAAGGGAAGGGCCAAGAAAAACCCCTAACAGTCTCTCGTTTCCAAATACAAACAGAGGAGCAGACACTCACTCTGATATTTAAGGGTTAATAATAAAACAGAAAAAGAACACGGCATTTTCCCCTTAAAATTCCTGCTCTTAGGTATTCAGCCTGATTTACATTTTACGTAATCTAATGGCTCAATCAGGAAGTGAGAATTTTAAGTGCGTGAGTTATGGACGGGAGGAATCACGTGACCCACAGCAAAGAAAATTACGCAGCAGAGGAGCATGCTAAGAAAAATAAACTAAGCAGTTAAAAAATAGTGTTTTGGGGATATATCGACCCACAAATATATTATGGCTTTTGAGAACTAATAATTCATTTGGACGCCTTAAAAATAAATCCCCAGGACTGCTTTAAAAAATATTACAAGATCAGAGTATGGCACGGTGAGAAATTAAAGTTTAATTATCCAAGAAACTGTTTCCCTGAAGTTTATATCCGTTCATGGTTTAGGTTAAGGGCTATTTTTCATCATTATTTGAAGATCAGATAATACTAATATAGTCAAACAAAACACGGGTTGCTGCAATGTTTACTGAAGCTTTATTTATATATATATATAGCGCATGGGTTCCTGGAGCACAAAGAAGAAAGTTGCTCAGATTTATCCAGACCCCACGTAAGTTTATAGATTTCAAGGAGTTACTGTATTTTATTATAGCAAATACATTCTTCAAGAGGAAAATGTTAAGGCCACAGAAACCTTCACCTCAGGTATCAAAGCTTGTACTAGGTCATCATTAAATAGTATCTGAATTATTCTTATGTGTTCCGTAAGTTATGCCACAAATATCAGACCAAGTACATTCAGTTTGGAAACAAAAAAGTGGGAGATAAAGGTGAAAACATTCTAATAGGTGTAATGGGCTGACCGACCGATGACTTCATATTACAAAGCTACTTAAGACATATTCTACTTTTCTAGAATAGAATGTACTAACATTTGAAATTCAAAAGATTTGGCCTGTGGCTACTTTGTTTCTCAATGCAATTCCTGTTAGTAATATGTTAATAAGCAATCATTTATTAATACCAATAATAAAAAATTAACATGGTTGAGGAGCAGCTATATCTCATAGCCTTTACTTTTATCAATTTAATGCTTAATACCAAAATACTATTCATACTTTTATTTCAGCCTATTAAAAAAATTTATACCATAACTCTGGGCAAGTGGCAGAGTGGGGTCAGTAACAGGAATCAGTTTTAGGTATTTCTTTATTCTTAGCTCATCTTCCTTCAATTCTTAAACACAAGAGGTATAGGGGGGAAAGAAGAGACTGATAGGAAAGACAGAAACCTTTCGGAAGGGAAGCTTAAGGTAGATTAAAAAAAGTTAGGGAAGGCAAGAAGCACACAGTCTTCTAGATGGGGTATTACATGACATCCACCATCATCGTACTAAACTTGATACCCTATTTGTTGACTGAATTAAGGAAAGATGAACTAGTTACCAAGAAATATACCCAGCAGACTGATTCATGGCAAACCTAGCTCAGCCACTTGCCTAGACTTTCGTTTATTTAGGATTAATCTCAGAGTATGTACTTTTCAACTCCCTCATTCTATGAATGAATCTTGGGTCTGGTCTCAGCTGTCTGTCAATTACCTGTGTAATACAGCAAAGTCTCTTAACTTCTCTAATTTCCTGAAATATTAAATAGTTACCTTTTGAGAGATATTGCATTCTTCATTCAGACCACAAGAAGAGTAATCAGTAAATGAATCTTTGAGTAATCAGAACCATTTTTATTTCATTCCTGCAACTGTATCACTAATCAGAAAATTAGAGAAGTTAAGAGACTTTGTTACGTCACAGAGATAGGTGAGTGAACTGAAACCAGATCCAAGATTTTGGACTTTCCCAGCCTAGGACTCTTTTTCACTATGTGCTGCCTTACAACTGTCACCTGAGGTTCTGGTAACTCTCCAACTAGCTAAGCCCTGGTTTCTTATCCTAGTCATCGAAAAGTCAAATAATCAGGACCCAGAGACCCATGCTCTGGGCCACCTCCTTCCTAACTCACAGGCCCACTGACCCTCCCAGCAGCCAGTGCTGAGCCTCCTACCTCATCAGCTGGGAGGAGACAGGGCAGGTTCCAGGCTGAGGGGCACAGCTTCTGAGGTGGTTCCAGTCTGTCTCCCTGGCTCATTCCTTCCACTGGTACTCATAGCTTCCTCATTTTTCCCAATGGGAAAATCAAGGCACTAAAATAAGAAAAAGCACTTGTTTTGGTTCATGTCACAGCTGTACTGGGATTTTGGATAAACACAAGAACCAGATAATAGTCTAGAAAAAGGAAAATTAACTCTTCCTTCGTAACATTCACCAAAATTAATTCTGTGGAGATTAAAGAGTTAAATGTAAAAGGAAAAAAAAGAAGAAGAAAACTAAAGTAGTAGAAAATATTTCTGAATTTGGGATGAAAAAAGATTTAGCTTTACAGAAGCAATAAAGAAAGTAACAAAAGGCAAGGTAATCTAACTGCAACAAAATGTAAAACCCCTATGTAAAAAACCAGCAAACAGAATTAAAAGGTGAGCAAAAAAAGGCCAGGTGTGTTGGCTCACACCTGTAATCCTAACACTCTGGGAGGTTGAGGCAGGAGGATGGCTGAAGATCTGGAGACCAGCCTGGACAACACAATGTGACCCTGTTCCTACAAAATATTTAAAAACTAGCCAGGTGTGGTGGCACGTATGTGTGGTCCTAGCAGAGGCTAGGGGTATTGCTTGAACCCTAGAGTTCCAGGCTGCTATGACTGCATCACCGCATTCCAGCCTGGGTGACAGAGGGAGGCCTTGTCTCTAAATAAACTAAAAAGCAAAAAATAGCTGTACCAGGAAAATATTCTCTATAGTATTTGAACGTAAAAGGTAAAATGTATTAACAGACAATTCACACAAAAATATAAAAAGCCAATTCATATGAAAAAAATGTTGGATTTCATGAGCAAACACCAAAATGCATTTCACCAATCACAAAGATGGACAACAAAAAAAGGAAAGCTCATGCAGTGGGATGAGACAGCCATTTCAAGAAATCAGCGATATATGTATTTTTTAAGCCTTCAAACTGTTTTGACTCCTAAGATGTTTATGAATATCTCCTAAGGAAATCATCACAGATACACAGGAAAATAACTAAACAAGGGAATACTCAGCGAAAGTATGAAATAGAGAACAACTCAAACATCCAAAGGTGAAATGGAGCATGTGACTAAACAGATCACAGTCAAAATTCATACATTTAAATCATGATTTTTGGAGAATGCTTAATGATATTGGAGATGACAAAATATCATGTTAGGGGCAAATGCTGAATGGAAAATCGTACATAAACATGATACTAATGTCGCCAGGTAAGAAAGAAAGTGAAGAAGGGAGGGACAAACTGGTCTTGAGACTGGATTAGGAGACATTAAAAAAGCTTAGAAAGGGCAGAGACATTTGATTTTTATTACTTCTTTATAATCTTGGGATGTTTGGCATTTTCTGTAATATTTTTATAACTGGAAAAATTTCTTTATGCGAATTACCACTCTGTAAATATTTCTCAGCTATATAAAATCACAAAAGTATTTGCAAATACTTTTTAATAAGAAATTTTTTTTGAGATGGGGTCTTCATGGGGAGTGCAATGGTCAATCAAAGCTCACTGTAACCTCGAACTCCTGGGCTCAGGCCATCCTTCAGTCTCAGTCTCCCAGCTACTCAGGCATGAACCGCCACACCCAGCCAGAAATTCTTATTATTAAATGCAAAGAAGAAGGTGCAAAATAATATGATCTTTACTATGTAAAAATTTACATGAAAGAGACTGGAAGCCTATGCATCAGAATGTTAACAGCTGTTGCTTTTAGGCAGTGCCATTGTGTATAATATTTTTCTATACATACACCTTATAAATTTTCTGATCATCATATATCGTTTTATTATAAGAAATAGATAATATCACAACTAGAGGACTGATACATCAAGAAGCTGCTGCTATCAACACTTAAATTTCAAAATACAGAATATCAATAGCTACAAAAATCTGCCTTATGACCAAGGGATTTTTTTTTTTTTTTTTTAAATTTGGGAACCACTGGTATACCTTCAGAAAACAGCAGGAATTGGTGTGTGTAGGAGGTGGTAATGAATCATATCTTTTCAGCTGTCAAACTGTTTTCTCTAGGCAGCAGTTCTGTGAGGGTCCTCCTGAAATATGAGAACCTTGATAGTCGGGACATTACCAGAAAAATGGCCCAAAGGTCGATCGGGGGAGGAACAGTAAATGATCAAAAGAGTAAGGCAGGAGTCCATGAAAACAGGGGTCAATAGAGAAGGATCGATCCATCATTTGATCCAAATGAACTGAAAGCAGGAACTAAAACAGGTATTTGTACATCCACATCCATAACAGCATTATTCACAACAGCCAAAACATGGGAGCAATCCGTGTCCATCAACCTGTGGCCATCACATGGATATATAAAATGTGGTATATCCACACAGCAGAATATTATTCGGCCTTAAAAAGCAAAGAAATCACGTCCACACTACAGTGTTGCTGTAATCCTACAACATTAGATGAACCTAGAAGACACTGTGCTAAGCGAAATAAGCCAGTTACAAAAGGACAAATACTGTAGGGTGTCACTTATTTGAGGTACTTAGAATAGCCAAATTCAAAGAAACAGAAAGTATGATGGTGGTTGCTGGGGGTGGGGGGAGGGGGGAGGAGAGAACAGGGAGTTGTTGTTTAATGAGGATAGAGTTTCTGTTTTGCAAGATGAAGAGATTCCGGAGATGGATGATAGTGATGGGTGCCCCACAATACGAATGTATTTAATGCCAATGACATGGATACTTAAAGATGGTTAAGATGGTCATTTTTATGTTATGTATGTTACCACAATTAAAATATATACGTATGTATTTTAAGGATCTGTATTTACATATAGATACAGTCTTATCTGTGTATGTGTGTGTATTTCATACATAAATATATGAAAGAAAGAAAAAAACCTTCATAATTAGAAGTCCTGAATAAGTTTCTGATTTGGCTTGCCAGAAAGGTTTAAGGAGTGTCGATGGTGCACGCATCAAAATGACCTTACTTCTGAGACTAAATTCTTTCTATAATAATTATAGAAGTCAGCTCAGAAGTGAAAATCCAGATCAAAAGTGAAAATAAGAAGGGACACTGTGTTTAATTTGAACATAATATTCCAAACTTCTTCATGGTTTTTTTTGAGACCCTCTCATAATAGCCAGCTTGGAAAAATTCCCCGCAACTAGGAAAGAACCTACAAATCCAAGCAACATGATGACATTTTCTCGTTAACTAACAGGAGAAAACATAAGAATAAGGGAAACTCTGAGTGTCCTTAAAATGTACTTGATACCCATTCCACATTATTACCACAGATTTAAAGAATTCTAGGGCTATACAGAAGCTCTCAGACAGAACTGTTCAGGACTTGGATGTCTAAAGAGGCTTGCCCAATGTCACTGAGAAATGCCAGATCTAAAGACAAGCCCATGGGGGAGAGTTCTGTTTTGTTTGTTGCGTTATATTTTATTTTATTTTAGTTATTTATTTTTTGAGACGGAGTCTTGCTCTGTTGCCAGGCTGGAGTGCAGTGGCACAATCCCAGCTCACTGCAACCTCCGTCTCCCGGGTTCAAGAGATTCTCCTGCCTCAGCCTCTTGAGTAGCTGGGACTACAGGTGTGTGCCACCACGCCCAGCTAATTTTTCTGTATTTTTAGTAGAGACAGGGTTTCACCAATGTTGGTCACACTGGTCTTGAACTCCTGACCTGAGGTGATCCGCCTGCCTCGGCCTCCCAAAGTGCTGGGATTAGAGGCGTGAGCCACCACGCCCGGACCTGTTTTATCTTTTAAAGAGGTGGCTATTTAAAGATAAGAAAGCAACGCATAATTGGAATGCTCTTTCTGCGAGTCATTTGATTCATTAATTTTGTTCAAAAAATACCTGTGTACATCTTGTATAATTCTGCCCAGGCACTGGGCTAGGTGCTGGATAATGAACAGTATTTCCTGCAGCAAACTGGCAATTATAATATAAATGGGACATACAGTGCTATTGGTACACTTAAGAGGGGGGCTCTAATGTGATCTAGCTAGATTGGTTGAAGATGGCAACCCGAAGTTTGCCATCTTTTTAAATAATAATAATAATAATAATAAAATTTTTTAATAATAATAATCACTGTTATCATCACAGCAAGCTTTACTGACCATCACTATAGGTCAGATAGGGCTTTAAGTACTTTCTATGCATGAAATAATGTAATCTTCACCACAACCCTATAAAGTAGAATCTTACGGATGAGGAAATTGAGGCACAGAGAGGTCACCCAGCTCCTAAGCAGTGAAGTCAGACCAGATTGCATGCTCTTCCAAAATCTGCTTCTAGGGAAACCCAAACAAAGACAAGACAGGAATGAAACTTAAGGAGCAGACCATTCGGGAAAGAACTGAGAAGCTCTGAATAAGAAAAGAGGGAAAAATAGGGTAGAGTTACTACAGATGGGAAAGGCTGAGGAAGGATGGAAGGGATACAAAGCCCATGACCAAGAGCTCCAGGGCAGGAGTGATTGATTTACAGTTGGGATTTTCATGACGCTCTGCAGGGTGAGAAACAACTCTCTTCTCTAACTCCCCATGAACTTGCTAGCGCTGTAATGACCTGGTCAAGCACAGGCTGGAACACACGCTCTGCAGAGGCCCCCATCAATCTGGCTACAGGACATTTAACAAATGGGTAAGAACTGAAGCAGGGAAGGAGCAGGATGAGGATGCTTTTAAAAGCATTGTCCTGAATGCAGTCAGAGAATGGATTAGGGGAAATTTAGCAGGGAGAAGGTTGCTAATCCATTCATATAGGTAAAAAGTAATGGTGACCAAGAAGGACATGACAGACAGATAAAGTAGATGGGTTTGAAAACTGTTGATAGGTAGAGTTTTGACCAGATTTGGCTTCTTACTGGATTCTGAAGGTGAGGAGAAAGGATCAGTAAGTCACAAGTTTCATGCTTGGGTATCTGAATCAATGTGGAACTTCTTGGACATGAGGTGCCAATAAGATATCCAAGTGCAGATGTCAGTGGGCATGGGAATATCAGTAGGGAGCTTAGAGACTGATAGAACCTGAAAAAGACAAGGAGAAGAAGAAGCAAGAAGGGTAGGCTGGGTC